CCGGCCGTCCCCGGACACACCCAGCCCCGAAGAAGCGACGAAAAAGACGAAGAAGCAAGGGTACTGATGCAATTTTCCACCGATCCCGATTTCCCGTAAGTGGCCCAATCTTCCCAACTTAGGACCCCTCGTTGCAACCGCGCAGAAACTCGCGCGTTACAGAAAGTGGTTCGTCACATATGTGACGCCCAGGGGGTTCCAATATTAGCAAGCTCCTGCTTGCTTGTTGACACGTCTCGATTTCTCTAATCGATCGACACGCGGAGCACTTCTCTTTATGCCACTTACCGTTTGATCGCGTGTGGACGTCATCCAACGTGGCAACTTGGCTCTTCTACTATCTCCTCAGATTGGGCTCTCGACAATTCAAGGATGGGATCTTTCTCGTGCCGTCGCCGCGACACGCGTCCATTACCTGCTGCATCAGTAATTAACCGGGAGGGGGGAGGGCTTAGGGGTAGCGGGGGCAGGAACCTTTCCATCCCGGCTGCAGTCTCTGGGAGTTCTTGGTAATGGACAATGCGGTGGAGACGGGGAAATCGATTGCCAGTGCGAGGGAGGGACGCGAGATAGTCGGGGTAGAGGGTGGTAAAGGTTCGGAAGAGCGCCGCACGGAAACGATCGCGATCTTCGCATGCGGGGATGGTCCCCGTTATTACGCAATAAACCTCACTCATATTGTGGCCTCGCCACGCGGCACTGAAAAGCAAGACATGGAGGCAAAAGGCCGGGACGGCGCACTAGAAGGAGGGATGGGGATGCACTACGACAGCGATGCAAGCGGCGTAGAAGTGGCGGAAGGTACTGCGGGGGAACGGATTGGAGGGGAACGTGACGGGGGTGGTGAGCTGGCGAAGGGTGAGGTAGTCAAGGGGACGGCGAGAGAGTAATCGGGGACGAAGGCCGATCGCCCGTATCGGTACGTCGGCGAACTGAGGGACGGGTTGGGGAGGGGGGGGATCGGCTTCGTTGCCGTGCCGATGGGGCCGGAGTCGTGGCCGCGAGGTTGCCATCTTCAGGTCGGGGACGCTCCGGATCTCGGTTTAGGTCCTCACAGATCTGCAGACTCACCGCGCCTGCGAGTTCTAACTCCGTCTTCCCGACCACGATCTTTTCCCTTTTACGGGCCGCCTCGGGATCTTCTGCCTCTATACCTGTGAGCAGCGCTTCTTCTGGCACGGCTTCCCACTCTGGTCCAGCAGATTCTTCTTCGTGCCCTTCTTCTCCTTCTTCGTCTTCTTCCTCTTCTTCGCTCTGCTCCCCCTCGCTATACTCGCTATAGCTTCCTTCTTCGGGGGTTTCGTCCTCTTCCCCGAGTACTTCGTCGCCTTCCTCACTTTCTTCCCGCTCGTCTTCCCTGTCGTCACTCTCAGTGCTTTCTTCCTCCTCTTCCTCCTCTTGGATGGCCGCAAGCTGCTCCGCCGTAGGCTGCCTGAAGAAGGCAGGGTCACGAATCGCCCGGGGATCCAAATGTTGTCGCTGCGACGGCGGGATGCGTTCCGCGGCTCCTTCTACGCAAGCCGACCACTGAAGATGAGGTGTCAAGGTGCGAGAAAGGACATGGGGAACTGGATGCTCGTCGTCTTGCGAGATGATGTCAAGAGGGAGGTCGTCCGCCAGCTGCGCTACCGGGATCGTGAGCTCTTGTGTGATAAGTTCCTGATGGTCGGGCCGTACTGCACCGAATAAGAATGCGAGGAGCTCTCCCTCCACGTTGGTGCGCCAGGCTTGGATAAACAGCAACTCCAGCCGCTCTATGCAAGGCGGGTGCGCTTCGTCCTCGATCCACGTCAGCCGTACTTCGACCAACCACAGTGAAATCTCTACGAAGTCTTCGCGCCACAGGTCCCAGTATGGGGGACGAATGTCGGGGACAGCAAGGGTCGTTAGGCAGTAGGAAAGGCGAGGATGGATATCGGACTGCCAAAAGGTGGGGAAGGTGGAGGGGAGGTCAAAAATGGAGATCGGAGAAAGACTCATTGGGGGCGAGGAAAAGGAACAACAACAGGGAGGATCGCCGGCGGATCACGTTGGTACATCCGAAGGCCGTCGTATTCGATTGCTCGTGTCGTCGCGACCGTGTCCCCGGGGCGAGCCAGAAGCTGGGTTCACTTGGCGACCAGGTCGTTTGCCCACGCGCGCAACGATGTCCTCACCACCGAATGTCGTAAAGGGAGGAGTGTGGAAAGATCGCCACGGAAGTTGATGACGACCGATATGCGGCTGACACCTGGTACCGCTCGCTGATGAACCGCTACTGCCTCGGCCAGTACCACTGCGTTGGGCCGACCTTCTATTCTGAACACCCCCGCCGCGTATACACCTTTCGTGCAGAAGAAGTGCGCAAGTCGCCGAAGGTCTAGACTGAGGTAGGGATGATAGACCTACCGGATCGTCAGTCGATCACGGGGCGCAAGCGCTGCTTCGCTGAGGGCTCTCTCCTCCAGAAAACTCATTGCGATGGCGATGGTGACGGGGAGGCAGAGAGGGAGCAAGAGGAAGAGGGAGATGTCGGAGAGGCAGAGCCGTCGTCCTCGGCTTCCTCAAAGAGAGAAAAAGAGGGAGAAGGAGTCGGAGCAGAGGGGAGGGGGCGGAGATAGGACATGTGGCGTGTGATCGGACGAGCCGATCGACTGCCAGAGACTTCAGGGGCGAGGCGCATGGTATCCACGCCGTTGGGGCCGAGCTCGATCACGCGATATCGCTCGAAGAATCGTGGCGCTAGCTTACCCTGGCGAGCACATTTCCTCACCTGCACCACGTCCCCCAATTTGTACTGGGGCCACGGTCCCGCATTCCCATTTCGGGCTTCGTAGCTCCGGACCTGTCAACCCTGGGCTAGTTCGGTCATTTTCTGTCGCTTTCGGGCTGGCCTGGGCAGCGAACATTCCATTAATTCTAGGTGTCGTTTGGCCTCGTCCCGAGCCGTGGTCCTGGTGGGCCGTCGGGTTAACGTAGTCTCATCCGGGAGGCTCGGTATTGAAATGCAAGCGACGCTATTGGTCCTTAATTGGAAGGGGCTTAGCCCCGTCGATTCGTGGGGCGTTCCGCGATGGACCGCCAGGATGTGATCGACGATATCAGGCCAAGGTCTCGGATCCTGTGCCTCGATGTTTCGTCGCAACGCTGTCTTTATCACCCGGTTAGCGTTTTCGACCAGCCCGTTGGACTGTGACATGTGAGGTGCAGTGTTCCGTATGGCGACGCCGTGTAGGACCAGATTCCTTAACACTTCTCCCCTGAATTCAGCCCCATTGTCAGTTAGGATTTCCTCCGTATCCTGATGCATCTCGAGGAAACGGTTGACATATCGCGCGATTTCCGTGGCTTGCCGCGTGCGACAAGGATACGCTTCGATTCATTTCGAGAAATGGTCGACAAATACCAGCAGGACTGAATACTCGCAACTATTAGGGCCAGGGGGCACCACTATGTCGGTAGTGTCCATGCTCACTCTTTGAAATGGCCGTTCAACAACTGTGGGCACTATCGATCTTGGCGGCTGAATCGGCGCTTTATCAGCGGCGCAGACCTGACAGTTGGCAACGATGTACTTCCCATCGTCGCGGATATTGGACCAATACCACTCATTTTTGTTGATAGCGGACTCTGTGATTCGCACGGCAAAATGAGCCGCAGTTTCCTCGTGGGCTGTCTTAACCCAGTCATACCGCATGAACGGATGTGGCACTACCATCCAGATCCCACTGCCGTCCGTTTTCCGTTTTTCTAATCTACCCTCTACCCATCGATAATCCCGAGCTCTTTCGTTGGCCCTCCTCCGATCTTCTTTGGTGAAATCCTGGAGGGGGTTACCTACAAGGGTGGCAATTAAGGCAATATCCGTCCATACTTCGGCCCTTCGAAACTTTCGGGTCTTTTCCAATCCTTCCGACGTGGCATCCAAAAATCGAGCCTTGGTAGGAATCTTGTTGGTCCGGCACAAGGGACACAACCATGGTCTACTATCGTTTCTGTATTGGATGCACGAGCCATGGGCTCGCGCAACACACTGTTCGCAATCTATCCAATCCGCATATCCCTCCCCGTTCTGACGCATGAAGACCGAATATGCGCGGGAAATAGCTTTGCAAAAATAGCAGAATTTGTCGGGCAGGGAGAGGAGAGACGAAGAGGAAGGGGGAGAGAGAGGGGTAGTGGGGTTACCTCCATCACCCATCGTCACCGTTTTACTTCTTGCCAACTGCCACTTGTCCGTATTTCGGCTCCCTTCCACGGTGTAATTTCCTCGCCCTTTGGTACCTTGGCAGGCCGATGTAGACGTGTCAGCCCGTCCGCGTTGCCTTGTCGCTCTGTCTTTCGATGGACGATGTCGAAGTCGTATTCTTGCAATCGCACCGCCCAACGACCAATCATGCCCGTGTAGTTGGTGAGTTTCTTCAGCGCCAGCAGAGGCTCGTGATCCATTACGAGGCGGAACTTCTGTCCGTAGAGATACGGATGGAAGTGTTGGATTCCCCAAACTACTGCATAGCACTCACCCTGAGGTGCGGAGTCGTTTCTTCGTTCGTCCGGTACGGTTCGTGACGCGTACTCGATGACGTGTTCTCGATCATCGTTCCCCTTCTGGGCGAAAATAGCGGAAATACCTTCCGGTTGCCAGTCCGTGATGAGGATGAACTGCTTCGAGGGGTCCGGCCGGATCAAAATAGGGGTCGTTGCCAGAGCGTCCTTGAGGGTTGCAAAGGCCTGCTGGCACTCCGCATCCCAGCTGAGAGACTGGTCTTTCCGTAACATATTCCTTAGTGGTCGTGCAATCGCGGCAAAACCCTTGATGAAGCGCCGATAGGACGACGCCAGCCCCAAGAAGGCTCGAACCTGCGTCAGAGACGTGGGAACCGGAGCTTCCCTCACTGCCGCAACTTTTCTCAAGTCTGGCCGCAATCCTCCACGTGTCACGACATAGCCCAGGAACGAAATTTCCGAGAGGAAAAATTCACTCTTCTTAAGCGCAATCTTGAACCCAGCGTCTCTCAATGCACTTAATGTCCATTCGATGTGTTGCGCGTGCCCGTGATAGGTCTCCGAATAGACCAGGATGTCGTCCATGTACACAATCACGCAGAAGTTAATCATCCCCTGCGTCAGTCGTGTCTTGTTGACGAAGTTCTGGAACGTCATGTTCATCGCTCGCTGAAACGTGGCAGGCGCATTGCAAATCCCCATCAGACACCGAACCCACTGCCACGTGCCCTCAAACAACACGAAGGCCGTTTTTGGCCGATCTTCTTCCCTCACCAGAATATGATGGAAGCCATGCCGAATATCAAACGTGCTGAAATAATTAGCGCATCCAATCGCATCCAACAGATCATCAATCCGGGGGAGGGGATACACATTTTTAATCGTGATTTCATTCAGCTTGCGATAATCAATACAAATGCGAATTGCTCCGTTTTTCTTCGGTACTAACACTACGGGAAAAGACCAAGGTTGGGTAGCAGGTTCGATCCAACCACTGGCTTCGAACTCCCGAATTCGTTCGAGAGCCTTTTTGCGTTCAATCAGGGAATAGCGATAGGGTTTGCAATGAATCGGGGAGTGATTTCCTGTCTGAATTTCATGTTGGATTACTAACGACAACCCAATGTCAGTATCTGACGCGCTAATCGCTTCTCGATATTCTGTTAGAATATCCACCATGACCCGGTGGATTTCATCCGGCACATACTGTGGAAGGCATAGTTCGAAAAGTTGGTCCCAGATCTGAACGTCGATATGTTTCGTGTGCGCCTGTTTTGCCAAGTCAGGTGGAGGCGCCGAGATGAATGAATGATCCGATCGCCAGGAGAACACCGTGGCCATCATCTGAGCATCTTCTTCCCGGATTGCCACGTGTCCTTCCGAGGTAATCCCGTCGCAAACATCCTGCCATGGCACTTCCTTGGTTGCAATTTTTATCCCCAGCCTGTCTTTTTCTGCTTCAAAACGCCCAGGGGGTTCCAGAGAGCTTGCTTCCGCCCCCAAGCGTAACAACCTCACTTCTTTAGCCGATGTTAGCAAAGACCTAGGTAGTTCTATAACGTCGCAATAATGCTTTTTATCTCTATAGCTGGCGAGGAGAGGGGTGATCCCTTCGTATAGAGTTTGAGGGGGTTCCAAAGAGTCGACCATCCTCGAAATCTGCACGAGGGTCTCTCCCAAGATCATTGCCTTGGTCCTTTGAATTTTTCGGCTGGTCAGTTGCATCGTTCTCGTTATCGTCTTGGGTGGCGGGTAGTAAACGCGTTGTCGTACTAATTTCAAGATCTCCGGATCGTCTTCGTCACTGCTTTCCGCATCATCAGATGATTGTCCTTCTGTGGGTCCGTCCCAGGAGATCATGCGGAGAGTCTCTGCCATCATCGGCGAGACCCGCGGGACCACGTTAATAGTAGTGCGAAGGGTCAATCGCATGGGCACCGCGTAGGGTTTTCCTCCTGTATTTCGGAGGACGATCGATCGTCGTTCGAAATCCAGGTTTGATCGTAATGCCACAAGAGCGGGAAGTCCGAAAAGAACGTCGTACATATTAACATCTAGTACTACGACATCCCCAAGCGCGTGTACTTTACCTAATCGGAAAGCGACATTGGTCATTCTCCCCATAGTTTTAATATTTTCCTCATCTGCCGAAACGAGCTGATCTTTCTCAGTGAGTATGATCAGGTCGTTTTTCCTACCCGCCCTTTCGACCACTCTTGGTGAGATAGTCAACACAGCGGCTCCTAAATCTATTATCGCGTTGTAAGGAACTCCCCAAATTTTAATATCACATTCCGCGGACTTCCACAGAATCGGTTTAATCCGTAAGAAGTGATCGTCTTTCTGAATTAATCCCACCCGTATTGGGTCCGGAGTGCTTGTTGTGTTTTCTTCCGGCGCGGGGCCCTTGGCTTTGGCACTTCGTGTTCGGGCGAGGGCAAACCGCTTTGGGTTTGCTTTGCAATGCTGTAGCATTCGCTCATTGGCTTGATCAGAGATCGAGAGTAGATGACCGATCGGTAGTGGAATCCGATGGTCCAAAGCTCGGATAATGTTTAATACATCGATTTCTCCTGTGACGAAGGTGGGTCCTCCCGACTCCATTTCTCCTAAGGACGGTCGCCACTCCGCCACTTCTTTCGGTTCTGGTGCTGGTCTGATTGTTCCGATCATTCCTAGTCCAGGATATCCCAGCGACACATACTGATCTAGCAGAATTAGCTCGGCGGCCTCTTCCGTGGTGGCCAAGGCACTTCCCCCACCCTCCACTTCTTCCATCAAGGCTCCGACTCGTCCAGGTCCATTGGCGATGGGGGCCTCAGCCATAGGTGCGACTCCGGTCCGCTGTTGCGGGGGTCGGTGGGGGCAATCACGGGCTAGATGTCCGGGCTGATGACAGGCATAACAAACATTCAGATTGTTCGCAGCTCCTCCGAGAGTCGGGGCAGGGGCTAATCCTTGTTGTATCGGAGGGGCACGCACCGCGATAGGTCGCATGTTCCTCATCATGGCTTCCAGCCGAGCATTGTGCTCTCGCTGTTCCTTTTTGCTTTCTTGGATCAAACTAATCAACGTTTTGGTTAGTTCGAAAATGGCCGCCTCGTTTGATCGTACAGGAGCCTCAACCGGCGGCGGGGGTAATGCCCTGACGGGCCAGGGCATCATAGGAGCAGAGATGCTCGGAGTCTCGCTTAGAATTACTCGTTTGGGGCCTATCTGTTCCATGTAGGTGACAGGTCCTGATACAAATCCCATGTTTTCAAATTTGTTCTGTAAAGCAGCCAGTTCTGATCTTGCCCGTACGAGCTCGGTCAAATCTCCGTCTCTAGGGTAGTCTTCTCCTTCCAGAAAGTTCGTTGCGAACTTCCGTTCCATTTCTTCCACAACAGCCATAATTTGTTGTAGCGTATGAGTGATGGGAGAAAACTCCTTTCGCAACTTAGTCCTTATTGTTCGACTGCGGAGTCCGTCAATGAACAGATCCCTCCCTACTTGCTCACCTCGCTCAGTTTTCACGAACATCCTGTAGAACCGGTTTAGATATTCCACAACGGATTCGAGCAGTTTTTGCACTCGGTCCTTGATCATGTACAATGCCTACTAAGGGTGAACATAATCAAATCGGTTCATGAAATCCCGTTCGAAGGTTGGGAGATCCACCCATACATAGATACTATACCAATGATGAGCGTCTCCTCCCATTCGAGCCGGAATGTTGATCTGTGCTTCGTGATCATCGTACTGCTGTCCTCTAAGCATGGCCAGCCATGCTCCTGCGAGATAATGCGCCGGATCAAATAGATGGAGATTTGGTGGCGACAGGGGAGCTCGTGCACGTGGGGCAGGTTGATTAGGTAGATTAGCATTTTGTTGCGGAGCCGGAATTTGCACGTCGGCAGCCGTATTGGCTGTTCGTCGGTTAGCCGCTCTGCTTCTGGTGACGATAGGGTCGCGTTTATACGGGTTCCGAGGGCGAGGTCGCCCGCGGTTAGTCAGGTCGCCAATTTAACGTGCTATCAATCCTTAGACCCTAGCCACGTGTCGGGCTCCGATACCAACCTCACGCCCGGTGCGACTTCCTGATCGGAGTGGGATGTGGGCCTGGAAGTGCGAAAAGGGGTGTGATTTTTGGGGAAAGTGGGGGAGTCTTAAGGGTATGAATGCAA